CCTGCCGCTCTGCCTACTTGTGCTCTCTCTCTCTTTGTCAAATAAATAAATAAAATCTTTAAAAAAAAAAACCTGTGAGGTTTTTAGACTCTATCTTAAGAATGGGATGAGGGAGAGAACAAAAATAGTGTTTATGTGTTTTACTTTGATCAGAATAATGATAGGTTTGTAGGTTATGTCAAAAGGCTAAAAATATGTAAATGTGAAAGGAAAGATTTTGTTTTGTCTTTGAAGAGGGGGTTAAATGGGTAACTAACTAAACTTTAAAATTTGCAAATGAAAAAAAAAAAGCTGGCCTAGGAATCAGACCATCCCTCTACAGAACTTTTATATATTTAAAAAAATAACAAATGGCCCAAATCACACAAGACACAGGAAGGGGACAAAGACCTATAGATACGGAGACTCATTATGAAGATGGCCTGTTTCGCCCCCAGGAAGGACACACAGACCAAAGGGCTAGAATGGAGAGCTATCCATGTTTTTGCACATATATGGAAACCTGATTTATGACAACGCTGGCGTCGTAGATCAGCAAGGAAACAAAGATCCATTAATTCAGATGCACTGAAACAACTGGGCTAAAGGCAAAAACGGGCATTTCATACAAGATGAAACAGAAATGGCAATGAACATATGAAAAGATGAACAACCACATTAGGTAGTCAGGGAAATGAAAATTAAAACTCGGAGATACCATTTCACACCCAGCAGAGAGGTGGAAATTAAGAGCAGACAGTACGAAGGTACGGAAGAGGGCTGGGGCGGGGGACGCTCCCCTCCGGACGGCCGAGTGCACACTCGTGCAGTCACTATGGACAACAGCTTGTGTCAAACCTAACACACGCGGGCCCTGCGCCCAGCTATCCCACGCCTACTTACACACTCCAGAGAAACTCGTGCGTGTGTTCTCTAGGAGACGTTTGCAACAATGTGTGTAGCAGCGCTATTCCTATTCGTGATAGACCCCAAAGATCAACAACCCAAATGCCCATTAAGAATAACATGTGAAGTATGGGGATTCACATAAGAATAAAAAAAAAAAAAAAAAAAAAGAATAACATGTGAAAATAAAACTGTTTAGTTCTTCAATAAAATCCCATACAACACTGAAAATTAATGAACTATACTTTTACACACGAGTGTACCTCCAGAACATAACGTTGAAGGAAAGAGGCGAGTCAGAAGAATACATACAGTATGGTTCCACTTAAACAAAATTTAAAAAAAAAATAGACCAAACTAAACATCATTGTTCAGAGACACAAATATGTAGTAAAATGATAAGGGAAATCATTACTATAAAATTTGGGATAGTGTTAATCTTGGGAGAGGGGATGGAGGGAAGGCCATGCGATTGGATAAGCACACCCAGGAGGTTTCAGAGATATTGGCAATGTTGCATTTCCTAAGCTAGGTGGTGGGTACATTTTTTTCAAGTTATATTTTATATTCTTCATATACATTTTACATACTCTTTCATAGGGATGTAACATAATAGCAACAACAAAAGGCCAAAAAAAAAAAAAACAGGGAAAGATAGAAGGGTAAGGAGTTTGATTCAATGGCCATTTTATTGAGTACATGCTATCCAGTCCTACCAAGGATGCATTAAGATTCCTGCTCTGTGGAACTTACTAATAGCTGGGAGGCTAATATGCAAGTCTGACACTCTTAACACAAAAGAGTAACTATTGCAATGTGCACACATACACACACACATACAAGCAAAGAGGTGGGGGGGTGGGTGGTGGAGAAGTCGAGGGATCAGGAAAAATGCAAGTAGGTGGTATGTAAGCTGAGCTCTGAAGGACAGAGTAAAATTCCAGGTAAGTGGAGACAGAAAGGCACTGCGGAGAGAAAACACCACTAATGGAGGGAGTACTGAGAGAACCGTCTGCTGGCTCTGGGAAGTGATACAGACGGTCAAAAGCAGACAGGGTGGACTTGAGTCAAACCATGCAGGGCTGTGAGAGCCATACTAAGCCATGCTGAGAAGTGTGGTTTTGAGTGCTCTAGTAAAGTTTGCATTTATAAGGAGGGAGTGGCATAATTTGGCCTCCGTGTTAGGATGAAAATTCTAAAAGGAGTAACTTGGACAGCCCTAAAGATCTGTGGCAGGTAGACCATGTAGGAGACTATGACTATTTTAGGAGGCTTGAAATTAGCCAGAGTCAGTATAAAAAATGGACTGAATAAGAGCCACTGAAATTCATGTGGTTAGGACACAGCAAAGTACTGGATAGACTGTAAAAAAAACCTGTGAACACTAAATTTAATAATTAATGAAGCTGATATAACGTTATATTTACAGCTAAACATTATTTATATTTTGCAATTTTCTTTTTGTTTTTCGGAATAAAAATATTTTATTTCAGGTTTCAAATAGTTTTAGAGGTTTTTGAAAAGCTCACAGGCCCACCACTTGTGATCACAATGTTCACCGAATAAAATGGCCCGAGTTTTTCTATACTTGATATGAAACCCAGACACCATAAAGAAAATTACTCATAAATCTGAATACACAGAAACCTAAAATTGAGGGGCGCCTGGGTGGCTCAGTCAGTTAAGCGCTGCCTTCAGCTCAGGTCATGATCCCAGGATCCTGGGATCAAGCCCCGCATTGGGCTCCCTGCTCAGCGGAGAGCCTGCTTCTCCCTCTCCCTCTGCCTGCCTCTCTGCCTACTTATACTCTCTATCTCTGTCAAATAAATACATAAAATCTTTAAAAAAAAAAGAAACCTAAAATTGATAAATTTGAACACATAAAAATTTAAAACAGCTATACCACACACACACAAAATATGATATATAAAGGTAAATCATAAACTGGGAAACATATTCACATATATAACACATACAAGAGCGAATACCCTTAATATCTAAAAAGCATTAACAAATCAATCCAAAAGAACAATGGGCAGGGGTGCCTGGGTGGTTTAGTTGGTTAAGTGTCTGAGTCTTGATTCTGGGTCAGCTCATGATCTCAGGGTTGTGAGATCAAGCCCTATGTCAGGGTCTGCGCTGGGCGTGAAGCCTCCTTAAGATTCTGTCTCTCCTCTCCTTCTGCCCCTCCCCCCAATCTCTTAAAAAAAAAAAAAAGAATGGGCAAAAGTATTACAGGAACCAAAGATGATACCTATGTTTTCAGTCTGGGAGACTTGTGCTCTCTCTGTCTCTCTCTCTCTCAAATAAATAAAATCTTAAGAAAAAAAGGATTTTATTTATTTATTTGAGAGAAAGAGAGAGAGAATGAGCCAGGCGGGAGGGGCAGCGGGAGAGGGAGAAGCAGGCTCCCCACTAAGCAGGGAGCCCTATGCAGGGGTCAATCCCAGGACCCCGAGATCACGACCTGAGCTGAAGGCAGATGCTTACTCAACTGAGTCAACCTCAAATAAATAAATAAAATCTTAAAAAAACATACACAAATAACTCTTAAAGCTCAACAATAAGAAAACAAGTAACTGGATTAAAAATTGGGTCAAAGACCTTAAATGACATCTCACCACAGAAGATATACATATGGCAATTAAGCTTATGAAAAGGTATTCCACATCATATGATCAGGGAAATGCAAATTAAAAGAACATTGAGATACCTTTATACACCTATTAGAATGGCCAAAATGTGGAACACTGGCAACACCAAATGCTGGTGAGGATGTGGAGCAACAGGAACTCACTCATTGCTGGTGGGAATGCAAAAGGATACAGCCATTTGGAAGACGGTGTGGTGGCTTCTTATGAAACTAAATATACCCTTACCATATGATCCGGCAAACATGCTCCTTAGTATCTACCCAAAGGGGCTAAAAACTTATGTCCACTCAAAAATCTGCACATGAATGTTTATAGCAGCTTAAATCATAGTTGCCAAAACTTGGAAGCAACCAAGATGTCCTTTAGTAGGTGAATGGATAAATAAGCTATGGTACATCCAGACAATGTATTACTCAACATTAATGAGCTATCAAGCTAACAAAGGACGTGGAGAAACCTTAAATATTACTGAGAGAAGCCAATCTGAAAAGGTTATCTACTGTATGATTCCAACAATATGAACATTCTGGAAAAGGCAAAACTATGGAAATAGTAAAAAGATCAGTGGTTGCCAGAGGCTGGAGGTGAGGGAGGGATAAACAGGCAGAGCACAGTAGACTAATTTAGGGCAATGAAAATACTCTGGATGATATCATAATGACGGATACACATCATTTTACATTTATCCATAGAATACATGATGCCAAGAGTGAATCATAATGTAAACTTCGGGTGATTATGACATAGTATGATATGATAATAATTTCATGGTATGTAGTTTCATCAACTGTAACAAACATACCACTCTGATGAGGGATGTTGATAATGAAAGTGTGAAACAACAGAAAAAACATACATTGGTCTCTGTCCCCAGTTCCTGGCACAGAGCTCCTAAAACCCCCGGCCTTTCCTAAGTGTAGGAGCACTAAAGGCATCTTTTGTTCTAACACTTAGTCTTTGACCCTGGTTCCTGACAGAGCTCCTCAATCACTTGGAATTTCCCGGGTGACAGGCGTATCTTTTGTTCTAATGAGGT